TTCCTCTTACATTACTCACAAAGGCTCAGCTCTCAGCTGCAGTCGCCACTCAAATGAACTATTTAACCAGCAAAGAAGGTATGTACACTATACCATGAAGAATATTTTAGTATTGATTTAAATGTATCTTCGAAACGAAGTTTATTTTTTACTGATTTGCAACATTTTTACCCACAATTTTTGCAAGATGCAAAAAATTAAAGACGATTAAAATAATTGAATAATGTAATTTTAGTAAAATTGTGGCGATTAGCAAAAAATTTTACCCTTAATTTTTTGCAAAATTTCATTCACAAATAATTCATTTTATGCTCATTTTATTCCCACAATATTTTCATGTATTAATTGGACCCTCATTTATGTCCTTATACCTTTCATTGTCAGGTGAGTTTACTATGAAGCCAGTCAGTCTGTGGGTTGTGTCTGATTTGTCCACTTCCTCTGGTCGACAAAATGATCTTGAATGTATTGAAATTTATGGTAAATTAATCCTCTTATTATTTAGATTATTTATTTATTTATGATTATTATTATTATTATTATTATTATTATTATTATTTAGTTTGTTTGTTTATTTATATAAATACATGTACATATATCTCATTATTGTTGGTTGTTATTATTATTTTTTGGCTCACGTATAATTATGGTATTAAGTCTTTATTATTGTTATTTATTATTAATTATTACTGTTATTTACTTATTTATTTATTTACATTATTAGGAGACTAAAGATACAGTTCGTGTTGGTATTATTGATAATCCCTCCTCCTCCTCTCTCTCTCTCTTATCCATCAACTATCAGTCTCCATTATACAATCACAGAGACCTTCAGTAGCCATACAATCACTCACTCTTCTATTATCACTGGAGGATGGGCGGGGCTTAGAAAATGAGGAGGAGCTTGTTGGTCTTTTTAAAGATATAGAGGTACTGGATATCTGAAAATATTTGAGGAACTTTTTGTAATTTTGTGCATTTTAATTTTAATTTTTTAGTTTCATTAAGTGAAATTTAATTTTGATACTTGTTAAATTGATGCATTTTAAATTTCATTTATTGTTATTTTGTAGAAGTTTAAAATGGCTGCCTTTGAGAAGAGAATGAAAGAGTTGGCGTCTTCAAGTGTTTTTGAGTATCAGAGAGAGTTTCTGAAGAGGGTACTCCAATTAGAGCCCGGGGCATCAGCCATACTGAGCAATGGGAGGGTAAGCATTAATTAAATTAAATTGTAATTATTATTATAGTCAGTTGTACATGTACATGTACTAGAGTATAGTACTTTCCCATTATTGTATTATTAATTATGGTACTTCAAACTTAGGAAGATGTACAGTATTTCTATGATATCCCAATTCCCCATTAATTAATACTAACAGTACTTTTAACATGAATGATACATTTATTAATGTTCATGCCACAAAAAGTTATACTTGTGTTAGTACAAATATTAAGCACAATATAATATTATAGTTACATGCATGTATGTATGTGTACATGTATGTTTAATTATTTATTTGTTTTTATTTATTTTTCCAGTTGATTGGTCCTTTGGGTCCTAAGGAGTCATTCATTTTTGATGATTTGGAAGCTCTTTATAATTTTGAGATCAGTTCCCACGTTCAGACTATATCAAATGCTATTGATTCAGTTGATTTGATTCTGCCTGATCCTGATTCTGATACCACCGAATATCGTAGTGATCTGGTCATGAGATTAGCCTCATTGTTACGGAGTCAGACTAAAGCAAGACGATTAGAACTGGATAGTTTTAAGAAAGAACACAGGTACACTGTACATGTACCATATAGTGGGCAATGTATTTAGCATTTTGGTAGTGATTTGCCAAATTAAAACCTTCTTTTTTGTACCAACTGTTTACTTACCAACAAAATAAAAACCAAAAGGTTCAAGTAGTAAAAAATTTTATCATTTAAATTATAGCAAGTTTACCATCTTTACCATTATACTCATCCTCAAAGGCACATGGACACAAATTTGCCAAATTAAAACTTGCCAATGACCTAATTTTTGGCAATTTGTCTATGTGTCATTATGCGCATGCTCAATGGCACAGAGATCTAAACCAACCAATCGCTACTTGAAAATTTTAGTAATTAACCAAAATTTATAATATTTTTTCTCTCTCTCCTCTAGTGTTCTTTCTGTTCCTCCTCTCTCCTCTGGTCCTGTTATTCATATTCTCCTGATATTAGATCCTCTCTCTCCTTCCTCTCAGAAGCTGTCCCCACTCTTAGGGAACCTCAAGGACCTCCTCCCATTGAATATCACTGTTCTCTTTAACCCTCTCACTAAACTATCAGCACTGCCTTTGAAGGAGTGAGTTCAATTATATTACATTTATTGATTCATTTATGTACATCTATTGCACAAGTTTCAATCCCATGTTGTTTAATTACATGTACCTGTATGTATTTTAAAGGATTTCAAAGCTGCAGTAATTTTGAACATTTAATCATACATGTAGAAG